TTTATACCCTGGACTTATTCCCATCATAAAATAATTATGAAGTATTTTTAAAGTAATTTTTATTTCTTTATTTTTGAACTTAAGAAACAATGTATTAAGATAGAAAAATCTATATTGATGTGAATCAACATATTGTGATATACGGACATGAAAAATACACTTACTAAATTAATATATCAGCATCAATTTCCACTTCAGTCTGTGGCTATTCAAAACTTTCTGGTAGAAATGAAACATTTTTGAACATCGGTTATTTTATTTCTGTTGATTGTAGGAACATATGTGCCATAAACTTCATTGAAAGGCAAATCTAGACGTGCCTTCCGCTTTGCCAACATGAATAATAAATTAATATACTCACGTGCCTGAATGAATAACCCTATTAATATACTCACGTGCCTCGAGGTAACGAAAATTTATCGTACATTATTTGTGTATACTAGGGAAGAGTTACACCAGCCTCACAATGAGGACTGCTAGGAAAAAAGAGGCTTGGTTGTCTTCTTAAAATAGTTCGATTAACAGGTTGTAAAGTATGTGATGTACTCAATGTCTATTACTGTTGCCGTGGAAATCTTTAGCCGTTTCCTAGCTGATAGTACTAGTTCTTCCATGGGAGGATCAATATTGCCAACCCCCACATAACTAGTAATTTATTATTAATAACTGATCATGCAATAAATCCAGAAATTCTTTAGTGCTCTCTATAAAGTAACTAGTCCAGAACTAGTTTCTTTTTTCCGATCATTATAATTTTTAGTTGGTAAAAAGAACACATACGTCAATCTGGACAATTTTCGTTTATACACTGATACGCTTGAAGAATAAGATAGAAAGTGTACGTCTCAACTCTATTTACTGAAAAAGTGGACATATTTCCTTTTTAAAATTACCGATTTAACTGTTTTGAGAGCCTCTCGGTCTTACTCCGACCAGAGGAGCCCATTACTGCCCCAAACCCATACCGGATACTGAATACTATGAGCATGAGTAACATACAGACCCTCTATGTAAACGGGGATTGGATGAATTTGTTCCCTGGGAAGGTTTACGGTGCAGAAATCACACACCACTTGAATAAGGAAAGGATGATTCAGAAACTTTGAATGACAATCCCCATAAAATTAGCAAACAAACAATTTATACAAAGGAAATATTGTTTTGCTTACAAACAAGGCAGAAAGGTTCCAATACACATGTTAATATTCCTTATTAATGTTTGTGTAGTATTTTGTTTCAACAGTGCATTTCTTAATGTTTTTAATGAGTGATTGATTAATTGTTATTTAGTAACCTCATATATTATAAATAGAATACAATATTATATAAAACGAGACATTTTATAAGATACTTTGATCATTTTATTATATAGTTATATATCTACATAATATGCTCCCACTCTCTCTCTGTTTAGAATGCATGTTTTGTCTTGGTATACACGTATTCAATTTATATCTAGTTTTATTATTGAATCATTTTGACAGTACGTTGTTATCAAGGGTATATGTGAATCTAACTATACTTCAGTTAATTCTCTTCAAACTATGGTATTACTACTCATACTATGCACTACGATTTATTGATGTTTTAAAACGAGTCCGATTATTGTTAGCAGAAAGAAGGGAGTATTTATTCAAAGAAAGGACAATTTTGCTTACAAACAAGGCAGGTAGGTCGCAATACACATGTTATTTCTTATTACTGTTTAAATAATATTTTGTTTGCAAAGTAGATTTCTGGATTAATGTTTATTTCAAAATTTCTTTTTTTGCGTGCACTATGTCATTTGAGTTAACGTAGTTTTGCTCGGTTATTTTACCAAATGTGATTGAAAGAAATCGAGAGAGAGAGAGAGAGAGAGAGAGAGAGAGAGAGAGAGAGAGAGAGAGAAGAGAGTAGTGAGAGAGAGAAACTAAAAGAAGTGAAAGAGAGAAAAACGCAGACAAAAAGAGGAAGAGTGATTGATCGATCAATATTTGTTACCCTTATGTTTATTACAAACCGATTACAATATTAAATAAATAGGGACAAATTATTAAATTTACAATAACATGAAACACCTACAGACAATCCTATAAATATATTGCGCATTTCAACTACTGTACAGAGCTGACATCCCAAAATGTTATAGATGATGAGGTGCCAACAACCACTTACGTGCGTGAGGCATCTTTTATGAAAAAACAGAACGCCGACCTCTTTCATAACGATATGATTCATCGAAACATCGTACAAAGTATCGTACGATTGCTACTCGTACTATGCACTGCGATTCTGGGATGTTCTCCAACGAGACTGTCCATTGTTAGTAGAAAGGAGAAGGCAGCCCCTTTTCAATACTGGACTTTTTACTATCGCAATTTTAACTTTTTTTATTATTATTTTTAATTGCAGTGTACTCGTAAATTATTGGTGTTGTTCTTCATTGGTCAAAGCAAATAAAACAAATTTTTTGACAACCAAGAATGTGCAGGGATGTCTATTCATTGACAGTAAGCAGTAGTGTGTACAGGGAATAAGATGACCGCAACACCTGAAACAATGATGGATATAAGACATTTCATTTACGTAACAATAATATTTACCGTCTTGCAATTTTCTATTATTTCAGGCACGTCTTTCAATTAAAACTGCAAGATATTTTTTTAACTTTTAAACATTGTGAAAAACGAATTACGTTTAAGTAGTGAAACACCACGAATGACCTAGGCTGTTTATTGATGAAACCTTGCGGTGGAAAACTAAAGAAAATATTATTAATCGCGTGAATACTTATAAGCTTATTTTATGCCCAAATAACAATTTCCATTTAAATATAATATTCAGTCGGTCTCACACCTGCGTTGGAGTGTCATATAATATTCCATTCCATATTCCATATACCATTCGATTTTGGCGGGTTCTATCAGCTACAATTTGTAGGATATTTTAGAGATCTTATAGAAACAAAATGAAGCAGCTCAAAGCTTTCCATTTCTCCACAGGTCGCGCGTGTTTCCCTCAATATTGTGCAACGTACTAAAGTTTGTGAATTTCTTAGACGAAAGTAATAAAATAACTTATAAGTTTGAACAAAAATCAAATATATATTAAATATGGTTTGTATTAAATGTGAAATTTATTTACTAGTATTTAGTATTCCTGAAAAAGTACTGTTTGAGAAATTTATGGCGTACATTTCCAGAGGCTGAATAGGTAAGATCGCATTGAGAAGTAACACGTTCCTTGGGGCCATATTTGCAGTTACACGTAAAATAACAATTTGCATAGGGTCCGCCATCGGGTGAAGGTGCCGCATCCTCGGAAAACCAATGTTCGAAAAATTTAATCAAATATGACTGTATGTATAAAATATTTGTTCATCAAAGAGTCTGGTGCAGGGACTCCATAGTTGAAGATCAGGCGGGTTAACTCAGGGAGCCAACTGATGTCTCAGCAGTGCCTCTGGCCGGGAGGTCAGGAGGTTAAAATCCTGACGCTGCAGGATTTTCGACACTAGCTAGATAGCTGGGTCGAATTCAGTCGCTGCCTGGAGAATTGTGGCGGAAGGCTGCTCTAATCGTAGTTTCGTGGTTTCTCCAATCAATAGCAGGCGAATGCCGTTGCAGTACCCAAATAACTGAGCCATAGATCGCGCGCGATCTTTCCTTCCCGTTCCTTCTCCTATCCTCACCCCTTCCTAACACGCATTTTCACTGACATGCACTGTACTAACTACATATGCTGGGGGAGCGGTCGGGAGCTTAGAGCTTGTCCCAGCAAGGGCGTTGCCCCATTGGTGGAGAAACCGAGTTAGCCGACGGTGGATTAGCGCCGGATCTTATCATTCAGTGGAGGAAGAGCACCGCCATCGCTCAACGAAGACATGCACTACACTTACGTGATTGATTAACCTGGCAGTTGACGCGCCCGGAATCACTAATTAATCAAAAATTGAACTTTTTCCTTCACTGACCCCTTTTTAAAAGAATTTTTGGCCCCATCTACACCCTCAATTTATGCTATATTTTACACAATTATTGCACAAAATATTTTTTATAAATGACTTATAGACAAAAAAAATTTCATTTTATCTAGGTTTTCAATAATTAAAGAAACGTCCCCTCTGATCATCACTTTTGAGCAATTGTGATAACCTTAAGTATCTAATCCCAGTATCTATTTCAGGGAGTATTTTTCAGATATAGAGCAACAAATATGTAATAAATTACGATATCAATCTTCTTTTCCGCAATTGAATATCGGTGTGAACACATAGTTATATTTTTGGAGTTTTCTACACATCGTAAGCAGTTTCATAACTATATTCTGGGAGCCCCAGTGCAAAACATCCAAATAGTGACTCCATCTGCAATAAACGTGAAATTAAGAGTTTTAAATTAATTGATATAATAGTGTGGCTGTTGAAATGGATAAATCGGTGGCGAGAAATTTCTTTTATTCTTTGCCTCAATCCCTCCACGGAGACCTTATTAAGGGCCCCTTACCTCGGGGGATCAATGCGGTGCATGAATGTAACAACTTCGTAATAAAATATTATTTTCCTCTCTATCATTAATTCATTATCAAGTACATATCAATAAATTCATTATCAAGTTCATTTTTTAAAATATTTTAGCAATGAATGGGATCTTGACCGCATCTATCAATTGCCTGTTCATTATTCGACTATAGACTTGTAATCAACTTGTTGATCATCATTAACCCCCTTCAAAATTTCATCGTCCCCAGGAGTCAAAACCGACGCTATAGGGAACGCCATGGTGAATTCTGGTGCCGACCAAACGGCTGCTAACGGAGTTTTTCCAAACCAGGTATCTCCCAAAAGCGGGGCTCTTCTCGCGCTGGGACAGGTTCTCACTTTCTGGCTTGTTTTCAAACATGTGAGAATGAGACAAAGAATGGGAAGGAATCATTGCGTGCGGTCCGTGGACCGTTTCTTAGTGTACTGTTTGGGCATTCGCCTGGTGTTGATTGGAGAAACCACCGAAAACTGGCCATCAGAGAAGCCGGCTGCTAGAATTCTCCTCGCGACAGCATGGATTCCAACATAGCTGGGTATCTGAAGGAAATTCCTCCCACCGTCAAGACTCGAAACTTGGACCTCCCGTTCACAGGCACTGCAGGTGACGCCCTGAGCCACCTCTCCCCATTCTTACCGAGAGGAAGGTCTCTCGCGAGAGGTCTGCGAAGCCGCCGGCTGTGGACAGGCGCAGGTCTCGTTGGCTGCGCATGAGCACGGTCATGAGTTCACGGCGCATGCGCAGAGGGGCGTCGAGCCACGGAGACTCGTAGATGGCGCGCGACAGTCTCTGGCCGCTCATCGTCACCTGCTCACCCATCTCGCTCAGCAGAAACACGTCCAAGAGAAAGGGGGGCACCATCGCCACGTACAACCCTTGGACAACCACGCCGCTCTCCTGAAAACACGTACAGTATTTCTAAGTTAATCGTAGATTGTACCACCAAGTACTGCTTCTTGTACAGCTCCGGAAATATAAATTAACCATCTGCGGCTCCGTTCAGCTTTTTCACCACTTGGGCAGCCCGTGTTTCAGCTATAAAACGTTACAGGGGGTCTCTCGCAGCCAATCTGAAAGAGGGCCTAGCAAAATTACATAATAGAAAATTGTGGACGTCGTTAATTCAGATGTGGAAATGTTTCGAAAAAAAATACATAGAATGAAACATGTTTGCAATTGTTCATGTGTTAATAAAATTTGCAAAAAATCCAAAATCGTGTATTTTTAGAATCGATATATGACTTTTAGGAAACTATTTAGAACAAAAACAACAAAAGTCAAAAATCAAGTCCACATTTACTACTTTAGCAACAAATTAAGTAGGTAATAGCAAGAATTTTGCATCTCTTGTAAAAACTTATATTTTGCAATATTCACTTCAAAGACAATTTGGGGACATTGTCTGGAAGGAATTACATAGATTTCAAAATTGTTTATACAATTGTTAATTGTTGCAAAATTGTCAATTCGAAGTTCTCTGTCCTGTGACATCAGGGGCCCTTCATACTTTAGAATTTATGAATTTGTGGATATTCTGACTATTTTGTTTTAGAGGCTTCGTTGTTGCAAAGACGACTGATTATTTCCTTTGTTCAGATATTTTCTGAGTTTCATTAAGATGCCCTCGGCATTTTCTTATTTAGAACATTTGTAAGAACTCACGTTTACATTGTAACTTTAAATAGTCCATTTGATTCTGAGGGTATTGTCCAAATGCATTGGCGTGATAGTTCGGAATGGAAAATAATTCTTCTAAGAATTGTTCTAAACTTGAGATGATTGAATTTTTAAAATGTTTAAAGTGCTAACTTGGAAAGAAGTAAAATTATTACGCATTTTATTTTAATGAATATTTTCTATGCTTAAGTTCAGAACATGGGAGTTAATATTGCTTTGGGGGCACTAATTGTTAACCAACATCTCCGAAAGTGTGAATGCTCTTGGCTGTTCAGGTGACTCCATGGCGAAGGCTGTGTTGCAGAAGTTTCGACCATCTTGTCGTGGTCTTCCTCAGGGCTGGTCTGCGCCGGAGATTTTTTCGGTTTTCGCTCTCCAGTTGCGCTGGAGAGACGGAAATTTATTTTGACTTTAGGGGTACAAATAAGTTTTTTTTTGCTTAGTCAAAGGTTCGTGTGCTTTGTGTTGCAGTTCGCACGCATTTTGTGTTTTATGTGTAAGTGGCTGCTGTAGGTTCGTGTCGGAACTTAGTCAATAGCCAAATCGGCTTTTGTGTTACACGACGCTCTTGAAATATCAGACGGGAGTGCTTGCCTTCTTTGCCCTATAGTAAGGACGTATCGAGCTAATTGTTTTAGCGTGTGCGGAGCTTCCTTGGTTTGAAAGCCTTGATAGGCTTCATTAAACGAAAGCCATCTCAAGCATTGTGTGAAGGACTCGATATCAAGTTCCTTCCTCAGTACTTTCAACCGTTTCTGAAAGGGATGGCGTGCTATGAGCCATAGAAATTTGTTCTGTACCTGCTCACGTGTATCCTTGTACTTCTGTGCTGTGGTCCATTACGTTGACGCAGCGTTCGAGGCCACAGGTCGGCAACACGTTTTTTAGAGTGCCAAGCGAAGTTCCACAATGAGTGTAGATTCCCTCAAAAGAGGTTGTAAGGGTCGAACTCTTTGTTGTAATTTAGATCGAATTCGCCTGACATGTAAATGCCAGCGCATCCTTCGATCAAAGTTACGCCTAAATAGGTTGTCGAAGGTGCCCATGTTAGATTTTGTGTACCAAGTGTAATTTGTTTTGGTGGTGTAAAACGTTTAGTGTACGTATTTGTGTTTGCGGCGGGTGTAACAGATGACCTCGACTTTTCCGCTGAGAAAGTCAAGTGGTTTTGTTCCCCCCACTTCAGCGTCAGGTTCATCTGCTTTTGAAGTATTTTGAGTTTGTGGTCTAGCTTTATTTCTCTTGCTATGACGGCTATGTCATCAGCATAAAGGAAGAGCCGTACTCGTATGTGGGATGTCATTAACACACAACAAGAACAGTAGCGGTGTGAGGACGGAGCCCTGAGGGACTCCGGCCCCAATCCTCCGCTTTGAGAATCTCGCTTTGCCCACACTTACCATGAAAGTGCGGTTAGTGAGGAAACATGTAAACATTTCGGTAACCCTTGTGGAAGGCAGCGCCGAAGTTTTGTATTGAGTGTACTGTGTGGCACTTTGTCAAAAGCTTGTACCATGTCGAGATGTATGACAGGTACATCCTGTGTGAGTGACAAGATCAGCGGAAATCTGCTGAGCCATGCAAAGTGCTTGTAGTGATGCGGAATGGCTCGGTCTGAAGGTAAACTGTTCATCTCGGATGGGGTTCCGCGAGAGAGCAGTTGGCACAATTCGAGCGAGTACAAGCCTCTCAAATACCTTTCCCAAAACCGGGAGACGACTGATTGGCCTGTGGCTTGCAGCGATCGTGAGATCCTTACAAAGTTTTGGAAGCATAGAGATACGTTTGCTTGGCGCTTTTTTTTCGCAATAAAAGAACATCGATGTGGTGTCTATTGCAGAATATCTCGATAATGCGTCGATCACCCGGGTCAGTGTGACCGCAATGTCCGTTGACGTTCCAGGCTGCTACCGCACGAGGGCGGGTTCTGGCGTTTCCCTGTATTCCGCGATCAGCCATATCTGGCTGTCACATGAGCGCAAAGAGTTTGTAGAGGTTTAGTGGGGTTTGGAACCTGCTGTTTCAGCTCAGATACCTCCTCCGTCTCCGACTAAGCAGCGGTCGTGTTATGTGAAGGCGCACTAGGCGCGGCGGTGTCAGGTCGAGCGGCTCTCTTGAATGCCCCTTCGGACACTGAGTTCGTCACCGCCTTCGCCGCGCGCGTTGCTTGCGTGGTGTTTGTGGCTTCGGCTTAGCTTCCTTGATCTGCTTCGGCTTCACATCTTTGCTCTTTATTGCTAAGGCCGTGTAGGCCTTGCGTTGGGTTAGCTTGCAGCCGGAATGATTAGCTTCGCAGTTGCAGCAGACAGCAGGTTTGTTGTTGCTGCAATCCTTTGTCAGATGGCCCTCGCCGAAGTGAATGCAGCGTGGGCTGATCTGGCAATAGACAAGCGGGAGTGACAAACAGCAGCATCTTTTACAGAAAGGTGCGCGCTCTGTTCGTTTCGCGACCTCGATGCGCGATCGACAGGGACAGATCGCCTTCAAGGCAAACAGCCACTTGCCGTCAACACCCGGGGTGATGTTTACGAAGTATGCATCTAAAGGTACTAATTTCCCGTTTCGAAACCTCTTCAATTGGTGTACAGCTGGCCGGCAGTTTCTGCCAAACGAGCACAGAACCACCCATAAAAAACCCGAGCGCTGACCACGTCGGAACAGATCTGCCCTGAGGAAGATCACGATAAGATGGTCGAAACGTCGACAACGCCTGCTGCAATTCTCCTCCCGACAGCGGTTGAATACGACGTAACTATGTAGTTAGTGTCGAAAACCCTGCCACCGTCCAGACTAGAACCTAGAATTTACCGGTTAGAGGCACTGCGGTGAGCTCCGTTGATTTAAGCTTTAAGCCAGCCCTCCCCGTACCTTGGTGGCGTTGAAGAGGGAGATGCAGATGACGATTAGCGAGGAGGCGAACTGCGCCAGGGCGAAATGACCCACCAGCCCTTGCATCTCGCTCACGCACCGCAGGAAGGCCTGGTGATGGCGCACGCACTCGTGTAAGTCACGTGAGTCACGCGCCGCCCGCAACCGCTCGGCCAGCACGTGCCCTTGCGCAGCCAGGTTCAGCATTAGACAGGCCAACAGCGACATGCTGAAGTTCTGGGCGATGAACGAGAAGAAGGCTCCCACCACCTGCACATGCACATCGTTCCCTTAGCGACTTCAACCCCCTTCATATTGACACTTAGCCTACAATGTGGACCACCTTACAACCAGTGGATGCGAATGAATTTCGTGTTTCCTGATGAGATATCCTGGTATTCCATTATACAGCCACTGAATTGAAGTTACAAACTTCTACGACATGTTCGAAGATCGAAAATTATTAAATTTGGCAATGAACATTAGATGGCAAATTTCAATTAACGGCGCTACACATGTGGTATTTGCTCCAGATTGCATAGAACACTGAAGTCTACAAGATTTACAAAATCTACAAGTGTTTTTTTCAGAAAGTCAGAGAGATATTATGTGCCTACCAAACGCCAGGGCTTGATGAGTTCCCTGTAAATCAGGATAAAATGTCACGTGTGTAACTTGGTTATCGGGAAGGTGACAGGACCGTGAGATGTCTGCAGTTTTTCACGAAGCCAATTCTTGTCTAGCGGACGGACGGTCAGCTAGCAATAATCGTGTACAGCGCTCCATATTTGGGGATATTTGTAAATCGTAGGACTAGCGTGCAAACGATTAGATCAAGAGAACGTGAATGACAATCAGGCTTTGTCCACCGTCACTACTACATTTTCTAGTTGAGGGCAATGCTGTAGCCTTCGACAACTCGATTTACACGAAACAATCTTACGGTTGTGCAACCCATATTTTCTGACATACAATAATACAAAACACAGAAAAACTCCGCTGGAGACGAGAATCGAACCGCAAAATGGCAGTATGATACTCTGTAAGTTAAACATTCGCTTGACTACATCTGATCGACACCATATTAAAATTATAGGGCCTACGATCATGGCGTCAGATGCAGAAACACTTCAATTCCAATGGAATCGTGTACAAGCGATTTATAGTGTACACTATTTCAATAACGTACTTCATGATCCTAACCGATGCTAATTTTCGGAGAAAGTTTCAACATTTACAGTTGTGGCTCGCTAAAACAGCGATATATCGGAACTGAATACGAACAGTTTGAAAAACGTCGAATTTCTGCAACTAGTGGTCCTACTACAATACATACTTTCTCGCGTTATTCGTAACATATGCAATAATATTTGCGAAAATTTAGACAGTTCAAAGAAAGTCGTACCTGCGCCATTTTTGTAAGCGTTCTTTGCACTTACGCGGAGTAAAAAATGAAAGAAACACAAATTGATACCGTTTTTGATAACTTTCCTATATTTTACGCAGAAGTATGTGATAACTACTCTTTTTTTAAAAAAACTATTATTCCTCAGTATAAGAGAATCAGAAAACCAGTTTTTCTGTCGAAGAATCACTATTTTTCTGCAACATTACAAAACTTTCTCTATAACAAGTAGGTAGTATGAATGAAAATTAAATGAGTAGAAGGAACATGAAATGTAATAAAAACGCATGTAAATACAGTAACTTGACACCAGGCAAAAATAATATATTACTACTGCAAGTCAGAATCGAAATTAAGAAGTATGAAAATGTTTTTCAACATGCAAATTAAAAAATTAAATATTCTGTAGAGTACTACATACCAGGGGAAACGTTTTAAAATATTTCTCTTAATTTAATGTCTGTTTAGTGTAAGAATAGCAGTTGATAAAAGACCATTGACCTGAGATCGCCTGCGTCGCAGGGATTGTGAAGGCGCTCTCGCACTGAGACCTCCGGAGAACTGAATGGGAGGAACTGACGCACGACTGTGTTACAGAACATCTACTGCAGATGGCTACGGTTATAACGATGCAGCGCCAAAGCGGGCGCACGCCTTGCAAGAACTAGGGGTGCCACATTGACAACAAAACATTGATACATAGATTTCTTCAGTCTTCAGTCAAAATTGAAACATAGATTTCTTCAGTCAAAATTCTCCAAACATTCCTTATATTCTTTATGCTCTAAGCTTCACATTCGATAATTAGCGTAATTCTCGTTAATTTTATTTAATTTGAGATTAAACTGAAAAAAAGCCTAAAAATTATCAGGACAATTACACAACTTTGAGTACCTTATTTGTAAATTTAAAAAAATAATGTAGGCTTTTTTGTAACTTAACTTTCATTTTATTATTTTTCACCCTTGGTCACTTTCGTCTAAAAAATATTCAATTTTTGGATATCTGAAAATATTTATTGAATTCTGTTACGATGTTACTTTTTTTACTTTGTAAATATAATCATTTAAAAAAATTTAACAAACAACATTAATGTTAAAAAACTCGGTTTCAAATAATCGATATTAGATTCATCTATGATTTTAAGAAAACATCAGTGCAACGGTGTCTCCTGCTCAGTGAGCATGAGGATGCTATCAGTTATACGAATTAAACAAAGTAGACAAGTTAAAGTCTCTAATCGATATCGTACTATATGTTTATGTATTCCATATTACCATCTACGTACTGTACCTACTGTAGATCCTTTAAGAATTGATAATGCGGCATAGCTTGCTCTGACAACGATAAACAAATACAATACTACCCAAAAGTGCGTTAGAATATTAGAGTACGTTTAATTAGAGGTCAATTTCCCGTTATCTTCTAGCGTACTTGAGAACTAAATAGTTTTTAAATCCATTCGTAGGACATTGGGAGTTTTTACACGCCGTTTCCTGCATCAGATAACTCATCTGCAAACTACGTGTGCATTTTTAGCACGAAATTTGTTGGATTCTAATGATCACATTACCGTTTCAAAACAATGATTGTTCTACGTAGAAGTACATGTTATACTCTAAAACGCAGTATCAAGAAAAGTTCTGCCCTTTTGCAACAACAAACAATAAAATACACGTGAAATAGCTGACTTAAAAGAAGTATTACAAATCGCGTGAGAGTTCCTTGTCAGTACTGATAACCTACGTCTCGTAAGTTACGTTTTGGGTCAGGATTGTTACCAAACATGCGTGCATGTGTAGCGAGGTAAAGAGGCTCCCCAGTCCCACCCCCCTGAGGTCTACAGACTTTAGATGGTGCCAAATGGGATAATGATTTTGTAGTGAAAGAAGAGGTACAAAAAGAGGCGATTGCGAAGCATTGGGAGAGAGATACAGAAGCAGCCAATGAGAAGTCAGGGCTGCGACAGTCAGCGTCACAGCAGCGTCGGCCGAAACGTCGTATCTTGCTCACAGCACATTATGAGAGTTCGATGATATCGGTTACAAAGCGAAACAGTCGAAACGTCGTTTCTCTGCCTATCTCATAAACGCAGTCGAAAGACACCTACCGGACAGCGCATGCCGAACACAAAAGGTACAAACGAAACACAAAGGAACTTGAGGAAACTATTTTTAACAACAGTTTTAAAAGAACCAATTAACTCGGGGATGCGACACATCGTTCTCATCCATAGAACCTACACCACTACTACGATGTTTTTAAAACATCGACATCACTTTCGAAGCGAGAATGTGAGTGGCGTGGCTCTTGTAACCCCAGCTGCTGAAAGCTTCCAATAAAAAGATTTACGATGGAGCTTTTTATTTAAATATATCATCCACAAAAAACATCCAACACACATCAATTTTACAAAATCAACTTCAAAACTCGATGTTAAATACATCGATGTTTTTATAAAAACATTTTATCTACTTGGCTGTCCGGGTGTTGCCGCGTCCTAGGCACACTCGTAAATGCCAAGGTTTCGGACGTAATGCTTCGACCTTCCTCAGGGCAAAAGGCATATTGGATACGCAAGTAGATACAAACTCCGGACGTACATACGCCAATGGTGAAAACGTGGGTGGGCTCTTCCGCATCTTATCCAACTACAGACAATTAGAACCAATATGCATCAAAATATTTGTGGGGATTTCAAACGTCAACATTTTCACCTTGTTACAAGCCATTGAAACAGATAAATTATGCACATCTTATAAATATGGCATCTTTTATTTCAATTACACATTCCGTGACCGTCTAAAATTGTCACTTCATGCCATTTTCGAAGTGATTCTCAACATTTCTCGTTGGCCGTGCAACTGCCTGGCTTTGAGTGTTCGTGTTGTGGCCACAGAGTTCCTAACACAAACTGGTGCAGCGCACAACGAACAAACATCGGTGGCGCCTACCCATCTCCTTCCACTATGCCTACGCTTTCATCACAACATCGACATCGCTGCGTGGAGCAAGGACCTGCGTGGCGTAGGCGAGCGCGTAACCCCAGCCGCCGGAATGGTCGAACGGAAAGCGCGCGTCCGTAGGCAGCACGCGCAGGCGACACCCCGCGGCGGCGGCGGCGGCGGCGGCGGCGGCGGCGGTGGCGTTGGCGGCGGCCGCCAGGGCGCTCTGCTGCTGCCTGCAGCATCGCACAGCGCGCGCTCACGCGCTCAGACAGGGTCTTGAACGCAAAATGGGCTGAATACATGGGTGCGCGCAATCTCCGAGCCCAGAGGTGGACCATTTCACGAGGAAATAATTACAATGTAAAACAAGGATAATACAATTATAACTTTAATGGTACAATTACTGTTGACTTTATTTTGAAACGTTTATCGGATTGACAGTTTTTTTAAAATCTGTTACGTCTACATATAACGTTTGGAGAGCCTTCTCAAAATATCGGGTAACATTTCCAAAATTTGGGTGATTAGAAAGCGAAAAAGTAGGTATTGCCCATATTTACACACACACACACATATATATATATATATATATATATATATATATATGTGGCCGTCACAATAAATTATAATAATTTCGTATCGAAATAGCTCCATCACAGTTAAGTAGGTCGCGGGAGGGGGCTTTTGTTGCCGAAGAGCCCTAACGCCGCCAGGCGGTCGACACGCATTGACAGCTGCGACGACCCCTGATGAGGGGACCTCTTAGTGCGACACATTTTATGACGTCATATACGCCCCCGCTGCGTCCCTTCCCTCCCTTTCCCGGAGCCATACGCTCAGACAACAATACGCGCCCGCGCTCTTTTGCCACGCGCACCCGCGCCCCTTTTGCCACGCGCCTGCGGCCCAGGAATCCAATCCCAAAGGTTATTTTACAACTCAACAGTCGTGGCTTGCCGAT